GCTTAGCCTGGGCAATGTGGACTAAGTATACAAAATAGTATTTACATCCATAAAATTGGTATGATACAAAAACAGAAAGAAAAAAAAAACAATTATTATTGTTATTTTTATTATTGTTATTATTATTATTATTGTTATTATTATTATTATTATTATTATTAGGAAAACAAAAAGGAAATTAAAAGACATTTAAATAATGTATTTAAAAGAAAAGCATAAAGGGAAAATTTAATTTTTAATTGAAGAAGTTCCGCTTGTTTACTAAGAAATATATTTCTTTCTTTTGATTCATTTAAATTTTATTCTCTAAGAAAATAAATCCTAGTGAATATTTTACCTTCTAGAAAATTGTACGTGTTTGGAATATATTTTTTATTTCATTGAATAAACGCTTTTGAAAGATTTTTAATTTTCTTGCTAAACAAAGCTACTAAAGTTGTCAGCCAAAGTCAAGGTCGATAAGAAAATCGAATATCGGAAATTGCTTTAGCTGATCTTGTGATATTCCAAGCAGCGGAAACTAAATCTTATATATAGCTACTAAACAATTTGTTGCAATAAAAATACATTTACTTAAATAAATATAAAAATAGAAATTTAGAATGTTTTACTTCAGATGTCGTGTGACTAGCGAGATTGATTGCGGAAACACGTGTTACAGTCAAATGGCTTCCACTCGGAACCAATCGGAAAGTAGGAATATATCAATCGATTTTAATGTTCAAGGGTAAAATCCGCTTCGCTGTCATGGCAACGTGCACGTGCTTGATTTCTTCCCTCTGATGGAAGAAGAAAAGAAGAAAGGATGGATGGAAAGGAAGCAACCAGCCAATAATACATTTGTCGTATGTTAGTAAGTGTAGCACGCATTGACTAACTATACATTATTAATATCATAATACGATTGTACTTATATTTTCATTAAATTCATAAATTAGTCATCTTTTCTGAAGACAACAGTGATGGCGTTGGGAAAGATGGATTTCTCTTCAACATTTGTACAATCCTTGAAAGGCAATCATTATGGGAGTGCAGCAAATCCTTATCCTCAAATGGCGTTCCCCAGTTTCTATTCATGCTTGCAATGTCGATATCCTTAATGAATCTCCTGGTGAGTGACTATTCGGGAAGGAAAGAAAAGGAGAAGAGAAGAGAAGAGAGGAGAAGAGAAAAGAGAGGAGAGGAGAGGAGAGGAGAGGAGAAGAGAAGAGAAGAGAAGAACGATAGAAGGTACTATGGCGTGTGACCGAGCATGTAGAGTTAGTTAAAAGTGATACATACAGTAACTGTAATTTTTTTTAATCAAAGAATTAAAAGATGGAAAAGTCATTATAGTTCCAAACGCTTTACGAGGATTTTAGGTTTACTTCTTATTCACTTATCAAAATACATCGTTCAAGCTTTGCGGATTTTTTGAGTTGCAGGAACCGGAATTACGTCACAAGTCTAACGATGCGTGCATTTCATTCACCCGTGAGAATGTGATCACGTAAACAGCTGAGTTTACGAGTAGTAAGACGAACAGTACGCTGTACGGTGCCAGCAAATGAGCCACAGTAATGTTAAATTAAGAAATTATCGCTCTGGCAAATCTTGGATGATGGCATAGTCAAGATATGGAGAACGAAGCGTTTGTAAAGATGGAAGACGAAAAATCGACTCCGTTATCGACGCCGGTACCAGGAAAGAAGAAAATATGGAAAGTTAGGGTAAAGCAAATTTCGATGGAGTTGAATGAAATGACCAAACACACTTACTATAATCATGGTGAACATCGTGAAAACCGAATACATTTAGCTCTTCAAAATGAGAGCATTCCGACCCTTGAAAAAGAGATAGAGGAGGCGAAAGAAAACGAAGACATAGATGGTCTAGACCACCAAGGGTTTGCAGCTTTGCACCACGCTACAAGGTACAACCGAATCGATGCAGTAAAGATTCTTCTGAAGAATGGTGCTTGTGCAGACGTTCGTACTAAAGATGATTGTAATACTCCTCTTCATATTGCTTCAAGGTAAAACTTTAATTGTAAATATTTTCTTTGCCATATTTGACCTTGTCGTCTTAATAGGTTTTACATACAAGGGTCGGAATGAATCGTCATGCACTAATTTTTTTAAATAAAATATTATTAAATGTTTTAAAGTTGTCTTTGTGTATTCTCGTTATATGCACGAATTCTTTCTTAATGTCTTTAATGACGTTCTACGTAAAAACTACATAAATTAATTTTTGACCTTAAAAATTGCTGAAAATTCGTCTCTAATGCAGAAATAGGAGAAAAAACAGCCAAAATCCAACGAACTTCTTAGTAATTGAAGTAAATTGGGAACATGAGTCTTTATTCCTGATGTACAGATTATAGATTTCTCTTTCGTTGCGTAACTTAAGTACCACTCTATTAAACTTCAAGTGTTTTTGCAAAAATTCTAATTTTAAAAAGCCTACACTTGCTCAACCATGAACGTTTGTAAAAATATTTTTTTAAGCAGTTACCTTTTTATAAAGATTTAGTCTCAGAATGAGTTTTTTGCACAGTTTTTTATTTTGTTGGTGTTAGAAAAAGTATAATGAGGGAATATCTTCATGGAGGTTCAGATGTCAGTTGTCAATTAAAAATTTGATTATTTATCAGTTGTCAGTTAAAATTTCGCTAATTGTTTATCAGTTGTCAGTTGAATATTAGGGCTTTTAATTTGTCAGTTTTCAGTAAAGTTGTCAGGCTCGAGACTCGCAAAAAACAACTAAAGAAAACGACAGGTTCTGGTATTGGTTGTTTGTGCCATGGTGTCTGCAGATCTTCATCTTTAGTGAACCCATAGGACGATATGATTTGATGGTAAATAAGGCGTAGCATCCGATCGTGTCTTGCTTTGTATAGGGATTGTGCGAAAGCAGAACATCCGCATAGCAAGTGTGGTATTGTTTCTTCTTGGACGTGGCATAACCTGCATCTTAGATCTCCTTCTTCTTCGTTTAACTTCTTTCTACGATATACCTTAGTTGTCAGTAACTGTTGCAGGATACTAGTGTGTATACTGTAAACGACGTCAGGAATGTTC